TATTTGGTCAAGATAATGACCATGATGTTAAGATATTATTCTTGCTTACCCTGAAGGTGCATGTTAATATATATTGATTGATTTTATTCTTATGTTCAGCTTTATTATTAGTTATACTTATTGTATTATGTTTATTTTTACTACTGCTTAATTTTTAATGTGAACATGAAACTGTCGTTTTTCGAATAATGACTCGAGCATTTGTCCTGAAGACAATGCAATGATATATTCCGTACTTAATAAACGGAAATTATTCATGTGAAAGTATAATCTCACAATGAGAAAAAAAAAAATTAATCCGCTCCAGAAGAGTATTGGTTTTATTGTGCTCCTGAAGAGCAATATTTCTCCTGGAAAACTGTATGTGAATACTGTTGCATCTACCTATACTATATATACCCCTACAGCAGATGAATAAACTATGAAGAACACAAGCTTAACTATGATTTAGAAGATCATATGCTTACACTCTGGAAGAGCATAAACTCCTGAAGAGTACAAAATATTCTTGTTTACAGTAATTAATGAAATTGTTACGGATCCCATCAAATGGATTCTGCTCCATTCCCTGAAGTGAATGAGGCAGTATAGTTATGATTGTGCCTATTGCCGAGGACATGGAAGAAATTATTCTAACTATTATGACCATAAAGGTTATGACAATGGCAAGGCTAAAAGAAAACATGCATATTATTATTGCATAAGGGATTCATTACTTGAGAACATCCACATAAAGGAATTGTTCTCATACATAAAACTTTGGGCCTCGTTATTGATGTTGACCCTAACACTGTCGTTCCAGGAGAACCACATACCACCCATGTTGTTTTCTCCAGGTAGCTCAAACCGATTTGTTGGAGGAAAATGGAGTGGTATTGCTCCATGATTCTCTGCAGGTTGCCACAGGGTTTCAGTAATCAGTACCATGTTGGGTTTCTACTGATTCTTCAGATCCCTTAAGGTACGCACAAAATCATGGGACCGCCCGGCTACTCCTCTGTAATTCCATAGTAAAAGTCGTACCTTAGGCCATGTAGGCGGTAACCCAGAAACCCTCGGGACACTCCGAGCCATCATGGAAACTTGATAATAACTACTTTGATTAAGAAATTGACAAGATGGCTCTAGTTAAAATTCCTGCAGTCTATCAGATACGAAAAACATTATTGAGTTAGCCGAGCCATAAAATGAAGCCCTTAAATTGCCTTGGTCCTCAAGGAAGAAAGTTTCTTCCATAGGAGTTACAAAGAATCTGGATGAATATAGTTCATCAACAAAAACCAAACGAGGAATTCTTGCGAGTTCACTTGGTAACTCCTCTTGCTGTTCATTCACCATGCTATATGCTAGCTTGTTCCTCCTTCCTAGAGAGGCACCCTCAACAAAGAAGACAGTTGTTGGGGAAGGCATTCTTTTATCTTTATGTGGTTTTTTTCAGAATCTATATGTTTCACCACATAATACTGCCCTCTTTTATAGCTTGAGCTTAGACAGCAAGGTGTCATTTTTCAAATGTGGACCCTCTTTCTTATCTCTGAAAAGATCCTGAAGATTTTTTAGTTTCGCAAAACTCCAAAGCTGTTTTTGGAAAAGTTTGCCTCCACATTTATTATTGCTTAATAATGTTGATCTTTTCCGACATGAGTGGCAGAAATAAGCTAGCCAGAACCTGGTGAAAATAGCAGCCTGAAGCTGGCACCAACTTGAAGTTGGTTTGTTGATTTATTATTTGGCATGACCGGTTGAGCCATCCCGGATCAATAATGATGCACAGAATTCATTCGGTTGAAAAACCAGAAGTTTTTACAATCAATGAATTTCTATGTGTTTGTTTGCTGCAAATTAATTGTTTGGCCTTCCTATGATGAGGTTGGCCTAGTATCACCAGCAAGTTTTTTGGAAATAATTCAGGGAAGTGTACGCGGACTAATAAATCCGCCATGTTAACCATCTAGGTAGTTTTGTGATTTTAATCGATGCATCGACTAGATGGTCTATTGTGTAATTATTAGACGCAAGTTGGCATATTGCACGCTTATTATGATTAAGCCAATTGCGGGTACACATCCCTGATTATCTTGTAAGACTATATGTCTTGATAATGCTGGTGTATCTCTTCAATGGATAATGTATATTGTTGGAAATAATGGACGATCTGGATGATTCGTTTATTGAATATTTCCAATTGATTGCAGGACCATTGCTAAAGAGATATTACTGTTTGAGAACATGATATTTTACACGTAGCAAATGTGCATCAAGCCAATGAGATATTATAAGATCATAAGATCTCCCCATTGGTTCTTGGTCACAAAATATCTCCCATCTTCGGACCGTTGACTAAGCACCAAATTCTCCACCACAGCATAGTAATGTTGGTCCTTAAAGAAGATTGGGAATAGATGTTGGATATGAATCTCCATCAATTACTACGTAATTGAAACTGTTGACTAAAAGATTGGAGATTTATTTATAGCAAGGTTTGCTTATTGTTAAATTTAATGAATGTATTTACCCAACATCAGGGGAAGAAAATAAGCAGCTGGATCAAAATATAATTGAAATGTTATTCAATGCTTAGTTTTGATCCTCAAACGAATTCGTATGAACCTGAAGTTCAGAAGATGATTCATTTGCAAAATATTTTGTCAATTGCCAGACATATTTTAAAAGTGTGACCATACCAGCTGCAAATGCTCCTGCTCGATTTAATGTTCCTGGAGAATAATTAAAATATGCAAATGAATCCAAAATATGCCAGAAGCATAGAATATGCTCGGTTCCAAAGAAAACTTCTCGATAGAGAAAAATGAGCAAAGATATCAGATGGCCCTAGTAAGAAAATAAGACCTCCAGTAGAGGTTCAAATTAAAAGTCCTCCAGAAGAGGTTGGTTTTTCTGACACAATTGATAAAGTTCCAGAAGTAGCTCAGGTACCTGAAATAGATGAATATAATGAGATTTCAATTACAGTTTCAGGAATAAGATGGAACCGACGTGGAATAACCGTTGACGGAATACTTGTTTTATTTATAATAAAGCGCTAAATAAAATGAGGATCATGAACCTACATTGATGAATGTAGGCATAGAATGATTGGCCAAAATAGAAATATATTTAAGGCCGTGTTAGACTCGCTTGTGAAGCAAGAAATTTTCGGACCTGTAGTCCGCACACCAGATGATGTAGAACCAATCGATTGAAAATGGGTATTTGTGTGAAAAGAAAATTATAATAGAGAAATACAAAGCACGGCTTATCACACAAGGTTTACCCAAACGACTTGGTATTAATTATGAGGATATATACTCCCATGTGGTGGATGCAATTATTTTTAATAAGTTTGGCATAATATGAAAAGAACTAGAAATGCATCAAATAACAGCCTATTTCTATAGATCCATAAGTCATGATATATGCAAAAGAATCCCTGAAGGAAAAAAAAATCCCTGAAGGATTCAAGAATCCCTGAAGCAACTAATTCCCGGGAATATATAAAATTATGCTAAATTAATCTCTACATGAATTATTATTGCTTATATTGACGATGCATATTCATATGTGGTGTTTATTATTTTAAGATTATTGGAACTCCTGAAGAAGATTCCATATGCCGTGCTATGCTTTTAAGAAAGTTTTTTTTTAGGAGAAATCTCATTGGTCCTGGAGTACCATGTCAAAATAAAATTTATCATGCTGGTAACATGAAGCCTATAGTTTTTGCCATAAGTCTATTGGAAAAAAAATATAGTTGTGCTCTTATCTTTGGGATATAATAAGATGTGGTATTATATTAACCCGGTAAGCCCGAAAAAAAAATATATAGTTTGTTTTCCAGGTACAGGTTATTAATTTGATCCACATAAAACTCAAGCTGATACCTGAAGTATCATGACAAGCACAAAATGCAACCAATAATGCAGAAATTGTTATTATAAACGAAGCTAGTCGAAACAGTGCTTGGCTACATCCGAAGATGCTACATACTCAAGACACATATGGAAATGATAGCAAGGTTGATGCTCCAAGAAAGAATTATGCTGCCTACATCGTCCCATTAGAGGAGTAATCAAGCATACATCACCAAATGTCACCAAATGTTTACAAGGATGATTGGCATGCAAAGACCTCAATAAATCAAGGGAGGCCAAAATGAGGGGGAGTAGAATACGCACTGCACTCTTTTTTTCTTCACTAAGTTTTTATCCCAGTCGGTTTTTCTTGGTAAGGTTTATAATGAGGCAGTTATCCCAACAACGTATTCTATCTAAAGTACAACGACATTCAAGGGGGAGTGTTATGAAAATAGTGAATACTGTTGTACAACAACCCGATATTTGTCTTTTCTTTAAAATGAATTCTATAAAAACCTGTAAATATTTCAAACCAGTTAAATGATATAAAACAAGCCAGTGGCTCTTCTCCTCACCTGCGTCTCTTCTCTTTTCTCCTTCTTATGCCCTCTTCTTCTTCATAAATTTTTTCTATTTCATATCTAAATTTATAACAGAGATTTATTTTTCTTGGATTTAATTGAAGATTTTTTAGTGGACACATGCCATATTATGATTGGTCACAAATTAAGTTATGGGCCATGTTTTAACAAGAGTTGAGGGACAGAATTTTTGAAAAGAAAAAGGAAAAAGGTTTAAATATTGAAATCAACAAAGCCAAATTATGTCATTTAGCCGTTATTTTTTTATATATTAACTAGTTTTCTCTACACATGCATCGCACGTGACATAGTATTGTTTTTTTAAAATGACGTAGTATAGTATTAATCTTAATTTTGAAAAGGATTTATACATAACATCTGGGCAGATTGATGCTTTCGATCTGTTGTACTTTGGGCGGGAGTGAAAAATATGGCGTCGCCCGGAGTCGAACTGGAGACCTTCAGTGTGTTAGAATGGCGTGATAACCAACTACACCACGACACCGTTGTTGGTGTAGGTGTCATTTTTTCTACAAATAGGAAACCAACGATTGCCACCACATTCAAACCTAGCTGCCGGCCTCGAACCGGAGACCTTCAGTGTGTTAGACTGACGTGATAACCAACCACACCACGACACCTTTATGCACAATAACTCAAAGAACTATTTAAGTTTTGAAATAAGAATATTGACATTGTTGTCTCAGACAGTGGTTAATACTATATATTCTGCACAAACAAACAAATGTACATTGGAAAAAGAAGGATAATTACAACAAGAGTGATATGAATAACGTCCATTGACGTACAATAAACTTGAAGATGAAATCGAGTGATAAAAAGCTCAGATTTTAAAGAGTGCAATTATAACTAAACCTAAAATGTGTCTGATTTCCAATCATCTTTCATGCTCATTCATAAGAAAGTTGAGGGTTTACCAAGTATTGGTCCTAGGTGTGGACAAGTATGGAGTTGTTTACAACGTTGTTGTTGCCAGTAGACCTGGCAATTCGTGTTATCGTGTCGGGTTGAACTGGTAAATGGGTTCCAATTCTTCAACCTAACCCGACCCATTTAATAATCGTGTTGTGTCGTGTCCAACCCATTTATTATCGTGTCGGGTTCGGGTTGACCCACGGGTTACCTATTAAGTCTAACAAGCTTAAAAATCAGTTTGAAATTTTTCTATTTTGCACCAGTTGTTGTATGTTTTAAGAAAATATGTATAATTAAATTTTTTATATATTAAATAATTACAAAATTATAATATAATAATATTTTAAAGCATTTATAGAAATATTTTTTGATAATTTTAGTAACTTTGAATTTAAATATTAAATAAGTCTTATATTAAAGGAGTGAAATATCTATATCCTAAATATAATCGGGTCATAAACAGGTACCTATCGGGTTGGCAGGTCAACCCGCGACCTGACCTGCTAATTTTCATGTCGTGTCGGGTCGAGCCATTTAACTAAACAGGTTGAAAATTTCTGACCTATACCTGCTAATTTCCTGTCGGATTGTCGTGTCAATACCCATTTTGCCAGGTCTAGCCAAGCTTCTAGTCCCTTTGCAGCAGTCCAAAATATTTTTTTGTGGTAGGTTATCTCTCTCCTTTTGTTGCAAGCCTTTATAGCAGTCCAATTTTATACAGTTTAATCAGCCCATCTTTGTTCACAAGTGAACAAATTGGCCCATCTTATGTTTGATCATGGGAGTTCGGCCCATCCAATTATTTGGAACTTAATTCAACATACGAAATGGGTATATGACAAAAGCCTACTATCTAATGGTTGGTTTGGATCTTGGGTCTAGTATTTCTCAAATGAAATTATTTCCAAAAATTACAAAAGATCTCTCTATTTTATTCAGACAGAATAATACATATGGTTTACAAGAGGGTACCAAATAAAGCAGACAGTCTCAGTGGGCATGATGGGTCGCTTTCAACTACAAGCTCCCATGCCACTCACATTTGTTTAATCTCTATGGGGATTGGTCAAGTAACCTAGTACACTAATATTTCTGGGTTCTGAATCAATGATAAAGGCTACCTTAAACAAATCAAATGTCAGCTGAATTCAAACTTCCTAGGTCCAACCTAGGACAATGCTAAAGAGTGACATCAATGACAAAAGGCTGCTGACTGGTGTGTCTCGTACCAAAGCGTGAAAGGGACAATAGGGAAGATGAACGTTGACACTCTAGCACATCGGAAGACAGACCAGCTGGATAGAAAGGGACATGTAACAATTCAAATTTGAATAGACAACATCCATCTTGCCTCTATAAAAAGGGATGTTGATTCAAGGAGAGACTCAGAACTGCCATACTAAGATTCTGAGTTAGAGCAAAAGCCTACAGTTCTCAAGTGAAGCAAAAAGAGAGAGAGAAGCTTTTTCATTGTTCACATACTTGGCGAAGCAACCTTTTGGGAAAAGCAAAGTACTTGTACTTAGTGATAGCTTCTGTAACGACCGGGGTAAAATTTTTGTGATTTTTACCAAGTTATTTTAACTTTTACTGTGGTTAATAAAGTTTTATCACGGTTAATCAAGAATTTTACCAAACCGAGTCAATTTTCATTAATTTAACTATTATTTTCACTACTCACAAAATTATTGTTGTTACTATTGTTATCATTGTTATTACTATTTTTATAATCGACATTAGTAATAATACTTTTGTTATTATTTTGTCGGGATATTTCTGTTGCAATAATTTGCTAATTATAATCTTAAAAGAAATTCGTCTTTTATTTTCATGATATTTAATATATCTTTAAAGATTTCTTTTGAATTTTATAAAAGGATAATTGTTAAATTATGTTTATGTTTTTCAAAGATTAAGTTAAAATGTTCAACACAAGGTTTAATACCGATACGTGTTTTGGAGTGTCTTTCGTTAACCGAGCCTTGTCACACGTTCGAAATTTTTCTGCGGATTTTACGGACCAAAGTTGGGATTTTTTTGGTCCAGGAATCTTCAGAAAAATCGGGTTTATCCTCGAGTTAACGGACCAGAAATAAAGGTAAGGGGGTATATTGGATATTTTCTGGTCCAGGTAGGTCACAATTCACATGTTGCATAGTACCACATAATTGAGGCAGCTCAATTATTCAGCCGCCTCTTTCCTGTGTACCCAGTGCTTTCACCCGTGCCTCACCAGTATTTTTGCATGTCTATTTAACTTGTGTTTCTTCAGCTTTCCAATACACCACACCACCATCTCCTTCCTGCAAACCTCATAACCCAGTATCATCTTCATCTCCTTCAACTTCGTTTTTCCTGCACCTGCAAAGCCACACAGACCAACCAAACTAGGAAAAAAAAGAGGAAAAAAAAAAACACACACACACACACCCTTACCCCACGCCGTCGTTTTGCAACATCCATCTCTTTTCTCTTTTCTTTTCTTCTTCCTTCTTCCCGTGACCAAACCACCACACACAAATCGAGACCACCCGACACCATCACCTGTTCTACCGAGCCACCTCCTCTCTCTTCTTCCTGCCTCGCCGTCGCGCCGTCCTTCTTGTTGTATCGCCATCGCCAACGTGTCCTCCTGCGTGTGACAGTCGAGCCGCGAGCCTCCACGCACCACCACCTGCAGCAGCAACGTCGCTGGACCCTTTTTCCATGCATCACGCCGCCCCTGCGTGTGACAGTCGAGCCGCGAGCCTCCACGCACCACCACCTGCAGCAGCAACGTCGCTGGACCCTTTTTCCATGCATCACGCCGCCCCTCATCGTCGCCGTGCCGTGCCACCGTTTCTATCCTGTGCCTCGCCTCGCTGTTGCTTCTCTGTTCTACCAAAGTGAGTAGACCCATGGTTGTTGTTGACCCGGGTGTGTTGTGGCGGGTCTGACCCGGGTGGCCTAGGTCGCGGGTTGTGTATGTGGGCTTGGGTGTGGGCTGGTTTGTGTTTGGGTTTTGACCGTTGGGCTTGTCATCTCGGTCTGCTGGATGGGCTAATGCCTGGGCTCCTACTTGGACATGGGTTGGCACTATGCAAGACCTGGGCTGATAAGCTTCCGGCACACTCTACCAGGTGTCCAACCTCAACCCGAGATACCACTTATACCCTTAAGCGACATCTCATCCTCTATAAAAACCAAACCTCATGACTGGAAAACTCACACACAGTCATGGACTCTCCACTGAGATCAAGAACAACCTCTGACTCCGAGAACAACAGCTACATCGGTGGCACTGCTTTCCCGACAAGCTCCGATGAAGAACCTCCGAAGAAGCACTTCAAGACAAACATCATCGGCTTGAAGGAACACATGGTCGTCTCCCCAAAACGACGAAAGAAGCGTGCCAACAAGAAGGCTGAAGATCGAAAGGGCAAGGCTACTGCTGAAAGTAGCACTCCACAGCAGACACTGACGCAGCTGAACGTCTCACTGAAGAAGATCAGCTCGGCGGTGGCGCAAATCGAACTGGCGTGCGCGGAACTCTTCCCACACATGAAAAATGTACAAAAGCTTGTAAAAGACTTAGAGAAGCAAGTAACTCAGTAGAGTACTTCTTCTCCTGTTGTAAAACTATTATGAAATAAATAAAATAATTTTTTTTAAATCAAAATTGTTATATTACAAAGTCTTATGTTAAATAGAAAAATAAAACATCTCAAAACAAAACAAAAATCAACAGTAAGAATATTAAATCAAATATAAAGGAATTAAAAACAAAATTCGTTTAACAAAATCAAAACAAAAGATATTTTTATGATCAGCGCCCAAATCGGTCCTAAGCATCCTCGATCCCGAGAAACGTAAAGCGCGCAACTAACGGTGTCGTCTGTCTCCCTCGTGAAAAAGACGTCCGTTAACTGGCAAGGCGATGATCACGGGAACGTCCTGTGTCCCTCGAAAGAAACGCTATCCACTTGTTCACAAATTCCGCATAAGCCAAAAATGTCTGTCAAGACAACGTATCTCTCCACGATGTCCGAACAGCTGTAAACTTGTCGTCCATGTGCTCTACTCGAGGTATGGTCCCATCAGTCTAGCCTCAACGGTCACGGATGCATGTGATAAAAGATGCAAGAAAATATAGAAAAGCCATAAAAAGAAAGGACAAAGTAGCCAGAGCGAAAGAAAATCATAAGATGGAAAAAGGCTGAAAAACTCTGGCATTGCAGCCCGAAAAACGTACAAAGTAACGTAGCAATAAATGAAAGCAACGACAAGTTTTCAAAAAGTAAGATCTTGAAAATCAAAAACAGTAAACACGCTCCCCATAAGAGTATAAAAGAAACGGAGCGGTGAGATGTAAATCATCAAAAGCATTTTAAAGCAACCAAAACGTCCAGGCAACCAAAACCACAAAACTCTGAAAAAACAAAATACCCACACGTCCAAACACGATGCCTGCCCCATCTTCTGTTTTCTTCGTCGAAGGTGCCAACCTAGGCAGAAGGAACCGACTGGCATACAGCATGGTCAACGAACGTGCTGAAGAACTACCGAACGAGCTCGGCAGAATGCCGCGTCTGGTCTTTGTCGACGAGCTCTACTCATCGCGGTTCTCTGTCACTCCAATGGAAGAGGTGTTCTTCCTAGAGGACCGCGGCACTCTGAGGACCTCCTACTACGGCTCGGCAAACTCCATCATGTTCTTCATCTCGGA